TAATTAGCTTTCATTAGTGTTTGTATATTTAATGTGTGGCCTAAGACAATGCTCCTTCTTCCATTGTGTGTCAGAGAAAAGAAAAGATTGGACAACCCCTGAGTTGTGAAGGAATTTAACTCATGTAGATTGCCCTTTCCCTCTTAGCCCCATTTAATGTGCTGACTAATGCAGTGTATTAAATATATACATTTTATAAAGTTTCTAATTGTATATTTTAGGAAGTGAGATTTACCTTAACTAAGCAAGTTAATTAAAACCTGCAATTTTAAGAATTAGACTTTTTATAGTAAGTAACAACTTGAACTAGATTTGTAGGTGTCCTCAAACTACGGCCCGTGGGCCACATGCAGCCCGCCTAGGACATTTATCTGGCTCACTGGGTGTTTTTGCTGCCACTGCCTGTCCTGCTGAGCAGCTGACTCATCCTGGGGCCCACAGTCCAGCCCTCCAATGGCAGAAGGGACAGTGAACTGGCCTCCTGTTTAAAAAGTTTGAGGACCCCTGCATAGACCCAAGGTAGTGATAGTAATGTGTATGTGTGCTTCTGAGTAGGTGGGGAAGAGACTTCAAAGATGTAACTGTAGACTTGGAAAATACTTTCTGTAGTTTAACAGGTCTTTGAATAGCATCATTTCATTCAGTGCTGTTGTGATATAATGTTGATGAGGTGAAAAATTGATTCCTGATTAGAGCCAGAGTTTGTGTAGAATTTGCACGTTCTTCCTCTGTCTGTGTGGACCTTCTCCAGGTGCTCCAGTTTCCTTCCACATTCTAAAGCTGTGCCCTTAGGTGAGTTTGTGTGTCCACATGGCACCAACCTGAGTGATCGTGGGGGGTGTGAACAAACCTGTGCTGGGATGTCATCCTGGCTGGGCCTGGGCTGTCATCCTGGGCTGACATCCTGGGCTGTCACCCTCAGCTTCCAGGATGGGCTCTGGCCATCCTCAACACTAAATTGGAATATTTGGGTAAATAATTATCTTCCTTGTTTTTATTAATCTTTCTTAAATGTATGTATAGCTCACATTTCAGTGCTTAATATTAGAAGTATTTTGGCCTTTATACAGAAGTTTGGTAATGTTTTGTGACCAGAAATATGCTGTAGGAACTTAACTCTTGTTTTTGTTAGTCACTGTATAGGGAAACTGATTTCATTTTATGTCCTGTCTATATAAAATTAAAGTGGAAGCTGTGGCTGGTATTGAAAGAGGACTTCCTGTGCATCTTTACATGGGAGAGTGGAGCGTCGCGCACACACGTGTGCCACTGCTGCAGGCTGTGAGCCACTTAGGAAGGAGTGCGGGCTACCAGTTTTATCAAACAGACTATAGGCTTTCCCTCCTGGAGCAAGGCATTGAGGAAGAGAACAAAAGGAGGTTATTTTTCCTCTAAATTGCTTATTTCCTATCCTGCTTCTGCCACTTAATGTTTCTGTGACCTTTGGTAAGTTTTTTTTCTCACCATGGTTCAGTTCTCTAATCTCTGAAATAGGGAGGTTAATAGTACCAAAGTTTACTGTGACAGCTAAAGGAAATAATCCATGCCTGGCCTGTAGTAAGTAATTGGTAAACGTTAGCCAAAAACCTCTGCAAAGGGCATGGTACAGTGTGCCTGAGGCAATGTTTCTTAATAAGATAAATTTTCAGATAGTAAATCTCTTCCTTCCCCCATTCAAGGTAAAAGTAGTAGTTTCATAACCCATCAAATTTGAGTTCTCTTTCTTTTGAAGCTGTTTTAAAATAATTCAGTTTAAAAAGGAGGAAAAAAAAGTTCCTGATTCTACTTTATTTTGAAGCCTTCCAATGCCAGAAATAAATGTCTTCAGATTCCAAAGAGGTATTGCAAATCTCTTCCTTCCTTTAACTTGGGAAAACAAATTTATAGTGTTTCCTAACTTAAGAACATCCTCAATCATGTATATTTTCATATCAAAAGGACAAAATAGTATTTAATTGTTTTATTCATGTTTAAATATGTTTTTCTCAATAGGAAATTGAAATATTTAAAGTTGGTGTTTCTGAGAAGGCAGATTAGGAATGTATCTCAGAATTAGATACTTGGGAATTAGATTGTTTCTTTTTCAGGCTTCTAGTTTGCTGGGTCACAGTGATGTTTTTCATGTTACCCTTTTTGCATTTATAATCATGGACTGCTGCCTTTCCTAGGGCTGGTATTAGCAAGTTAATTGAGTTGGCACATTAAATATAGGCTCGGTGGAGTACTCCTTCCCTCTTCTTTCTTCTCATTTTTTAGTTTCTCTATCACAAAACAGAGCAACAGAGACCCAAGGAACAATAGATTAGACTAAAGTGGTATTGGCCACTCTTAATAATACATTTAGGTAGAGGTAATCGAGCTATATCAGGAATTGTAAGACTTAACACAATTTAATTAAATTTTCATTCACTGCCATTTAAATTTTTATTGTATCTTTTATTTTTTCAAAAAGTCTCACTTGGAAGTCACTGTATAGGAAGCAGCTAAGCACTGCCACTAGTTGAAGATGAGCGTAAAGCCTGCTTATTTGGACTCTTCTCATTTTATGTTATCACCCAGCAGTCCCTACCTCTGTGTATCTGCATGTAACCTTAGGGCTCTAAGTAAAGCAGTTTAGAAGTGACTAATACAGACAGATCCCATGTTGGGGTATAATCCTGGTGTCCTCAGTTTTGTTCTATTCTGAGATAGCTGTCTTATCCTGACCCTTCCCTACCGAGTTCATGTTGTTAAAACTTCTCTTTCCCCTAGTATTCCCAGTTCAGCATGTGTTAATAGTAATTTCATTCATTTATTGACATAGGCTGAAAACCTCAGTCATCTTTGACTCTTCCCCATTTCTAACCATAACACTCTGGATTCAGCCTCTTTTGTTTCTCTCCTCCAAATTGCAGTAGCCCACTTAGTCTTCTCTTTTTTCTCTTTCCTTCCTGCAGACTAGTCTGGTAGTTAGTTACATGGGTTCTGGAACCATATTCCCTGCATTCACCTGCCACGTGACTTTGAGAATACCAGTTAGCTTTTCTGGACCTTAGTTTCCTTAACTAAGTTAAATTAAGATGGGAATGTTTGATACTATTTACTTCACATGGTTGTGTCAGCTGAGTAATTTATATCACACATAAATTACTAATACTTAGAACAGTACTTGACAAATAATAAATATCCAACGAATGTTAGGTGGTGAGTGGTATTTGCACCTGTTGCTTTTTATGCAATACTGAATTAAAAGTGATGTTATTAAAATGTTAGTCTGATGAATTCTCCATTGGCTTCCTGTCCCAGGGCACTGCAGCCCTGATTACTTAGGACCTCTCTGGTCATGACTTGCCCTTGCTGCTCCGTTCCAGTCACATGAGCGCTGCTGCTTCCCATCTTGTGTAGCCCTTTCTGTGTTTGCACTGCCCCCCCCCCCACACCCTTCCTGCAGATAGTTGCCCAGTTTGCCACTCCTTCATGTGTATCTTCACTCAGATTCAACCACTATTTAAGAGTATTGTGCCATTGTTCTCTGTATCTTTTCTTGACTTAATTTTCAAATTTTATGAGAAGATGGCTTTCATTACCTGACACTGTTGGCTATTTACTTCACTAGGCTAGATTTCATAGTATGGTAGTTCCCTCTTATCTGGGGGATACCTTCCCAGTGGGATACTCCTTCCTGCTGAGGGGTGGATGCCTGAAACTGTGGATAGTATCAAATTATATACTGTGGTTTTTTCCTGTATATACATACCTATGATAAAGTTTAATTTATAAATTAGGCACAGTTAGAGACTAATGATAACTAATAATGAAATAGAACAATTACAACAATATGTCACCATCGCTGCTCTTGCACTTTGGGGCCATTATAAAGTACAATAAAGATTACCTAAACATAAGCTCTACCGAGAAAGTACAGTCAGTCCAAGGTACCTGGGAAAACAGGATTTTTTTTTTCCTTTTCTTTTTTTTTTTTTTAAAGAGGTTTGGATTTAAAATGCTTTCTAGTCTCTTAAAGATGAAACATTGAGTTACTTTTCCACTATTCAGTTGAATATAAATTTTGAAATTAATTTCTGTCATTTATCTTAAAAATGATATGGTAATTTAATTACTTTTTGATAACTATATACTGGTATATTGATTATGAAGAAATGAAGGGTCTCAAGAATAGCTCATAACTTTGAATATCTTTTTTTTCATCATTCCTGAGAATTATTTTTCTAAATCACCCTTATCAGTGTCAGTTACTTATTATATACTTCGCTTCAAGAGAATGTATGTTATTTTGTGCTTTTTGATTTGGGCCTCTTTTTCATCTTCATAGGTAACACCCAGTGGTGTTCTGTACCATACCTTGTTATAATCTAAGCAAAAAAATGATTTCTTTTCTGATTTGAAGAGGGGTTAGTCACATGCTAATTTGTTGTTTAGTCTTTTTTATAAAATCACTGGTGTTAGGTAAGATAATGTGTGGAGCTGACCTTCTAAATTATGCCTATCAAATTGGTACCATTCAGAGACAGTATCAGATGTGGTGTTTGACTGGGACAGCTTAGCTTACCTTAAGGTGGTAACATAGGTGTTATGAGGAGACCTCAGGGAAGAAAGAAATCTCCCATGGAGCAGGAAAAAACTCTCTTTATTTTGATTATCAATATGTATAAAGATCATAAAAGAGGGGCCTTAAAATCTGCCTGATGTCGGGGTTTTTAGCAGGGGCACCTGGCTTGTGATGGCCACGGGATCCTGGGGGTTCTGCTCTAGGACCCTTCAGTGTTGCCTCCTCCTGTCACTGCACAGCAGAAGCTACCAGGTCTTGAACTGACCACCCACCTACCCTGTTGATAAACATTTTAGAACAGCTTTACCTTTTCTTATCTATAGAATGATTTCTGTTAGAAGAACTTAAATGTAAGTCAGGATCAGGCAAAAATCAGTGATCTGATTTATAAGCTGTTCTCCCTTTTTTATTTATGTATGGTCTATTAAAATCATCATTATTATTATTACAGGCCATGGTTGCTTGTTACCCAGGCAACGGAACGGGTTATGTACGTCATGTTGATAATCCAAATGGAGATGGAAGATGTGTGACATGTATATATTATCTTAATAAAGACTGGGATGCCAAGGTATGCAACTTAATTGAGCACTTTTTTCTCACAGGTTTTTTTTTCCCACAAGTATTAAGATTTATACTCCATATAGGTGAGACTATCTTTACCACATAAAAAAGTTAAAAAATTTCTCTATTAAATTTGTTTCAGTCTCAGGTATTAGGAATGTTTTGTTTTGTTTTTGAGACCGTCTCACTCTGCTGCCCCAGGCTAGGGTGTAGTGACTTAGTCCTAGCTCATAGCAACTTCAAGCTCCTGGGTTCAAGTGATCCTCCTCCCTCAGCCTCTGGAATAGCTGGGACTATAAGCGTCTGCCACAACACCCTGCTCATTTTCTGTTTTTAGTAGAGATGGGGTCTTGCCCTTGCTCAGGCTGGTCTCTCCTGAGCTCAAGGGATCCTCCTATCTTGGCTTCCCAGAGTGCTAAAGTGTAGAGTGTAGAGGCATAAGCCCCACTATTATACCCAGCAAGTAGTGGACTTTTTAAAAAATGAAACAAATACTAATACTCTCCTATAACATAATACCTGTAGTTAACAACATAGTGTCATGCACTTAAAATTTTCAGAGAGTAGATCTCATATTGGGTGTTCTCCTCCTCCTCCCCCTAAAGCCTACAAACACAAAGGCAAATTTGGGAGGCGATGGATATGTTTACTGTCTTAATTCTGGTTATTGATGGTATCAGGGGTGTATGTATATGTTCAAACTCATCAAATTGTAAACTTTAAATGTGTACATTTTTTATGTATCAGTTATGCCTCAATAAAGCTGAATAAAAAGTACTAATAGATTTACTGACCCTCAGACATTGAAGCATTTATGCAAAATTTTACTGACTTTTACCAAAAATGATCTTTATTAAAGTTCTTTTTAACAGTTTTTATAAAAACACTACAGTTATTTTATAGGGGCTTTTAGGGGTGATGATCTGTAATCAGTTGTTACAGATTATTTGCTGGTCTGTTCTTTGCATTGTTGTAGGGATGTTATATGGCATTGGGTTGTTGAATTAAGTATCAGAGTCAGGATTCCATCTTTCCCTGATTATGAAAACACTAGGAGTTTATCAATATTGACAAACTGTGTAAAACCAGTTATAATGTACAATATATTCAATCTCTTTTGTCTTAAATATATATTCCCTTAATATTAGCCTGAGTTTCATTGATGGCTGTGCAGACTGATTTGGGGGTTGATTTTAAAAAATCTTAAGTATAACATTCAAGTAGCAAAGTGAACAGTGTATATATAGCTCAGTAGATTTTCGGAAAGTGAACACACCATTGTAGCTGACGTAACTTTCTTTTTAAATGATAATAAACTTTAAAACACCATTTTTTCCTCCTCCCCGCAAACAAACTGGAAACCTCCCAACTCTACAATGTACAAAAACCTGATCCTACCCTAAAAAGTGCTTTGAATTTAGAATATGCGCACAGTGCTCCAGTAATCTTTCTAGACTGTCTAGTCCAAGTTCAAAATGGAGTAAGATAACTGCTAAGTAGATATTGAAGCATTATGTCAACAAGCATGGCTTTTTCTGTTACAGATTTCAAAGCTTGAAATAGAGAAGTAAATTTGGTAATTCATCTTGAGCCCAAGGCACAAAACAGATTGATGTGACTTTAGTTAAAACTTAAAAACTGACTTTTTGTCAGATTTTGTAATATCTGGAAAGCTAGAATTATGATCAGCTGCTAACTTTTAGATTGTGTTAGGCTTTTCCTAGGCCGATGTCATTATAATTTGTAAATGACCTATCTAAGGTCATTAATACATAGGTTTCATTTTTATTTTTTTAAAATATATGTTTTAGATGAGGACATAAGCAGAGAAAAGTTCCTAGTGTTTTCATGTGGAATAGAAAACTTGGCCATTGCATGGTGGCACTGAATACGTGCAGTGTGCCAGAATACGTGCTCCATTGTTCTGGGTGCTGGGGATATAGCAGAAATGGAGCTAGACCTGGTAGGGCTTTAGATCTGTTGGACAACACAGACAATTACGGTTAGTTGTGGCAAGTGTCAGGACAGATTGCTGTTGGGAGCACATAGGAGGACCACCTAGTTAAGAGGTCAGGGAAAGTTTTCCAGAGCAAGAGTGGAAGGGTCAACTAGCCATTTCTCTTTGAACATTTTCAGCATATTACCTGTGACAGTCCTGGTGAATCCAGTCAAAGGCAAAGGGGCAGGAAAAAAGAAGACATGTTCTCAGTCACAGCCTGGAGGTTATTTTTTTATTTGTGTATATTCATGGGGTGCAAGTACAGTTTTGCTACATTGATATATCGCATTGTGGTGAAGTCCGGGCCTTCAGTGCACCCCCACCGGAGCACATTGTACCTGTCAGGGAACCTCCCATTATCCCCACCCCTCAGTCCTCTGGAGGTCATAGATGTTTGCATGATTGCCCAAGGAATCACTCTGAACACCACTGGAACCCGAGGAAGATGGGAAAGGGTACCAAGTAGCTAGAATTTAACTTACCTGTGGATGAGCCTGATAAACATTTTTTCTAACCGTAGATTCTGGGAACAGATTCAAACCCCATGGTGTCTTGATCAGGTATTCAAGTTTCTGTTTTAAGAATCTACTTTCTTAGGAGTGTAGTTATTCAGGGGTAAAAGCTGCTTGGTTGGTTGAGTTTTGCCTAGCTTTTATCTTTCCCAGACTGTAAATACCACAACGACAAGGTGTGTCTGCATTATTCCCTACCCCACTTCCAAGTGCAGTAGATGCCTAGTCAGTATTAGAATGAGTAGATGAATCCATTAAATCCTGAACTGAGGATGATATATTTAAGTAAATACTAAGAATCCTTTATGGATGGAATCAAGCTTCATGAAGCAGGCAGTCTTCGTGTGTCAGGCCCAGTTTGGAGAGCGAGAGCTACCCATACAATGAGTATTTGCTTGCTCTAATAGTGACCACATGCCTGCTAATGGTGAGGACGATGGTGAAGATGACAGTGACAATAGTAAACGATACTTTCAACGGATATATTGAATTCTTTACGTTAGAATGTGACTGTCCTATTAAGCATATGTTGAACTTTAAAATACAATAAACTTATTTGGTATATTAAGCCATTTATAATAATTTAATCAAGAAGATTTGAAATGTATCCATTTTAAGTGTAGGTTAAGGAAAATCAGTAGCATACATAAATGTTTACTAGTTTTCAAAACTTTCAAATTCGGTCAGTATTCATCTGTTTCATCAAGTATTTGTAAAAATCCATAAAACAAGAGTGTTTCCTTGCATCAATGATACACTTAAAATGTCGGTTCATCTTAATACTTTAATCAAGATGTATTCATGAATATTCAATTAAAAATCTCAGTTTATTGAAATAGTCTTTTTCCCCCCTTCTAAATTTAATCTTGCAGCATTTTTGGTTATTCTACTTACGTATTTTGGCTCTTTTTCTAGGTAAGTGGAGGTATACTACGAATTTTTCCAGAAGGCAAAGCCCAGTTTGCTGACATTGAACCCAAGTTTGATAGACTACTGTTTTTCTGGTCTGATCGTCGCAACCCTCATGAAGTACAACCAGCATATGCTACAAGGTAGTATTTTTCCTTTTAAGAAAAAATTGAGTATGGTAGGACGGGGAGGGGATCAGTATGATAAACTTGAAAGCTTTCTAATGAGTGTTTTCCTGCTCTCCAAGTACACTTCACAGGCCTTTTAGTTTGAATAACTGTATAAGATTTGTTGTAGACATTTTGATTTGAATGATTGTATGAGATTTATTCAGTGAGTACTAAATGTGTCTTTCTTTGCTGGCCACTTTGTATTTGGGGTAAGGAAAGAAAGCACAGGCTCTCCCATCCTTCTAGCCCTGTCTTCCTGCTCGCTCCGTTTCTAGCCTACTATCCATTCTTTAATGTTGTGAAAGTATTTCACTTGGGAGAGAAAAAGATTAAAGAAGGAAAAGGGAAGGGTTTTTAAAAGATGGTGAGAGAGAAAAGAGAAGAGGTAACCAGAGGTTACGAGAGCAAAAATAAAGTCGAAAACAGGTTGCCATGTGTGGGAGTTAATGTTAGAAAAATAACCCTCTAGCTTTAACAATAATAAGTATCTATTTTATTTTACTCTTTTCTGTAAGGTTTGGATTTCTCAATGTCTTAAGCACATTCTTTTAAATGCTTTTCTTTTTTAACTATTTGTCATGTCTCAGTTAAAATATTAAGAATGTTAAAATAAGAGTTCTGGCAGTAAATATTGGTACAAAACAGTACAGTTTTTAAAATACTGCAGCTATTTTTCTTCATAGAAAGAACTGTGAACTTCCTGATAGGGAGATGCTGGCATTCATTGCTGTCTGGCCTAGCAGATGCCACAAGGTGCCTGCAGGGGCAATAGTGTACCTGAGAGCTGACATTAGTAATGGAGGCGCTGCTGCCGGCTCTCCCTTTCTCCCCTTTCTTTCTTGGCTGTGTTGCCTTCTCCCTAATTCACATAGTGAGTTGCAGCCTAAACAGTTTATGGCCAGAGAGCATAAAGTCCCCAGTGGAGACCAGGGGATGGCTGGTCACATCTGCTCTGCATCCCAGGTGCAGTCCTCTCCCCTGCTGCCTCTGTAAATGTCTACTGACCCCGTAGACCTTCTTTTTATGCAATCTTGAGTTTGGCTTGGTCATATCCTTACAGATGAAGAAATAACAGATACAGTACTTGGGGGCAGTAAGTAAATGTCAGCCGGTGTGGAGGGAGGGTTCCGTAGAAGCTAGATGGAGGAGGGGCACATGCCGGGGGGCGGGGGTGGGTGGGTGAGGGGACCCAGGAGGCAGGAGCGCAGCAGTACTCTTGGATGGCTAAAGTGGTATGGAGAAAAGGATTCTTGAAAGAAGTCAACAGGAGATGAGGCTGGAAAGTGAGAAGGACATTTGGTAGTTCACAGTTGTCAGGTGAGAACAAGGGGCTGTAGAGGGAGCTGATCCAGATGTTAGGACTCTGGTTGCTGTGTAACTAAAAGTTTGGGGCATGGGCAAAAGACATGCAAATCATATATCTTAGCCCCTTGTCCTATTACCAAGGCCACTCAAAAAAAGAGAAGACACTACAACACAGTAGGAAAGCTGGGTAGCAGAGTGTGGAAATGAGGAGGCTGTCGGCTGTCAGCTGAGGGTTCTGTGTAGCTCTGTCTCTCGGCTGCCCAAACTCCCAGCTCTGACCCTGCTCTGCATTTGACTCTGCCTCAGATACGTTACCTGATTTAGTTGTGTCACATTTACTGGCTCTATGTTTGATTAGTGTTCTTTTCCCTACATGACCACAAGACATTTTAACTAATTGCTGTATTCTGCTAAGGAATTGGTGATTTGTAGTATGTTGTCCTTCCTGTTGTTCACATCAGAAGATACAACTATGTACTTAACAAATAGGAGATGCCACTTTCATTTGGGGAAGGAGATATTCCAGATAAGTGAAATAAAACAAAGCTTAGCTATCTTTTAAACATCACAGTATTGTTTTGATAAAAATCCTAAAAGATTCTAAGTGTAATTTGTCTTGATGACTCAAAGTTATAATTGTAATATCCACGACTCTTTGCTTATAAAACAGTGATATCCTCAGAGGCTGCTGAGACTGTTGGCCGCCCTGCACTAAAGGGCCCAGGCTGCTATGCCTTGAGCACTTTTATCTGTTTCTCTGCTCTTCTTTTAGTATTTTTGCTATTGATAATGTGCTTTTTCTATAAAAGCCATTTTTTTACACTTTTATTGTCTCTATTATCTGTCTCTATTATCTGCAGTGGGCTTGCAAAAAAGATAGTCAAGTAGGTGGAGTAAGTGTTAAGAAAGTAATAAAAATGCACCAACTTCATGACATCAATTTTAGCCTCTCCAGGTTCTCAGCATTGAGGTTGCTGGATAAGTGAGTTGTATGATACTCATTTGTCCTTTGCTGTCATTCCTATTTAGGGATATTTTTGGCATTATGAATTTTAATATACCATTGCAACAGCATACCACTTCCCCCCAGTGTGATCATTCTTACCCTATTCTAAATTTTCTTTTAGGTACGCAATAACTGTTTGGTATTTTGATGCAGATGAGAGAGCACGAGCTAAAGTAAAATACCTAACAGGTAAACATTTGGGGCCAGGGTATACGGAACAGAAGTACCCTGCCATCAGGTGGTGCTTTCCAAACACTCTAGCGTAGTCATTGTTAACACCATGGATACTTTCTCCTTGTTTTTGTGATATTCTTTAATTCCACCCCCCCCCTTTTTTTTTTACAAAGGACACGTGGTAGTACACTTATCTTCATTTTTATCTTTAACCAACAAAATTGATCAAAGATTAGAAAAGTTTGAGGCAAAGCCATCTGAGTAAATCATTCAGGTAACAAACTGAATTTTCTGTGATTATCCTTTTTAATCCTGGGCTACTTTAGGTAACAGCCATCTGGCTTCCTCTCATTCTCTTCTTAGAAGGAAGTTAATTCTTTTCCTTGTCAAATGTACATGCTCTGAACAGTACTCCAAGTCTTCCATGTTGAATGTGGACATGAAGAAAATCAATACAAAGGAGATGAATTGAAATGCCAAAATCAGTAAATGAGTCGGGCATGTAGATTCTGTATCTGTTGATGGTGTGCGTAGGTGAGCACTCTTGTATTCAACCTGAAGATCCTTCATTCTCCTAGTTTTCCCCTGCCCAGCCCACCTGCAGATGGTCTCTCTTAGAGCACTGGGTCTGAGTTTCCCGCCTGATGGACCATTTACCTGACTTTCCTTAAATCCTACCTTACATTTCCAAAAGTCTGCTCAGTGTTCACCTTACTGCTTAGTTGTATTGACTGGAGCCACTGATAATCCCATGTCACCCCCCCTTTTTTTCCCCATTTCATCCTTTTATAAAAGTATAAAAAATGAGTGCTCATGCATTTTCTTTGTATTTAAAAGCCACTGTTTGTGGCAGAAGCCTACTAGTATGCTTTCAGTGATGCTGAGCATTCTACTGATGTAAAGTAATCCAAATTGTTTTTAAAATAAAAAGGAAACAGAATCATTATCTCTGTGCAGAGAATAGTTACCGTTGAAGTTTTACTAGTTCAAAGTAACATGTCATACTAGAACTCTGAGGGTAGTGTTTGGAAGTGTAAGGGTGGCTTGGCACCAGTGGCTCAAGCAGCTAAAGCGCCAGCCAAATACACCTGAGCTGGCAGGTTCAAATCCAGCCTGGGCCCACCAAACAACAATGACAGCTGCAACCAAAAAAAATAGCCAGGCGTTGTGGTGGGCACCTGTAGTCCCAGCTACTTGGAAGGCAGAGACTGGAGAATTGCTTAAACCTAGGAATTGGAGGTTGTTGTGAGCTGTGATGCCATGGCACTCTACCCAGGGCAACAGCTTGAGGCTCTGTCTTAAAAAAAAAAAAAATAATGTGTAAGGGCGATAGTTTTCAGATGGTGTTTGCAAAATTGAAATATTGTCCATATTGTTTAGGAATTGAACAGAAGCTCACTGGTGCTTAATGAATGAATGAAAACAACTTTTTTTTTTTTTTTTTTTACCTTGCAGGTGAAAAAGGTGTGAGGGTTGAACTTAATAAACCTTCTGATTCGATCAGTAAAGACGTCTTATAGAGCCTTTGATCCAGCAATATCCTACTTCATCTTCAATAATTGTTGATGCTGTTTGTTAACTTGTGAATAAATGGGATAAAGAAAAATAGACCACCAGTTGACATTTTAATAAGGAAACAAAGAACTTTTTTGTGTTGCATCGAACAGAAGATTTTGACTGTTATGAGTTTATACTGCATGATCTACTCCAAATCTGTGACTGCTTATGGGAAGAAGATAAGCTATCAAATGAAAATGGTTTTTACATCTGGACATGAAATAAGTGCCCTATGTAGAATTTTTTTCATTCTCATATTTTGCCAGATCTGTCATCTAGCTGAGTTCATTTCATCTCTCCCTTTTTTATATCAAGTTTGAATTTGGGATAATTTTTTCTATGATTAGGTACAATTTATCAAAACTGAATTGAGAAAAAATTACAGTATTATTTCTCAAAATAACATCAATCTATTTTTGTAAACTTCTTCATACTATTAAATTTTGCCCTAAAAGACCTTAATTATGATTGTTGCCAGTGACTGATGATTAATTTTCTTTTTACTTAAGAAAAGGAGCACTTTAATTCCATCTGAGAAATAAGTATGTTTTGTAGTCCTGTCTGACACTAATTTGAACTCTTAGAAATTGCTGCTGTCTTTCACATTGTTAGCAATGAACCTAACAGTAAAGTAGTCACCACCATTTACTATCAATAACGTTAGTTCATGTTTTACAAGAAAATATACACAGTAAGAAGGGTTTCTTTTTTAAGTTGAATTTTTTAAAAACTGAAGTGACTGGCACTAAATAAACTTGAGGTTATCCTCAACTTCAAGTTCCTAAGATAAAAGGGCTTTTTTAAGCTTTCAGGTTTATCCTATAGATGTAGACAGTAATGTCCCATTTCTAACCTTTTGCTTCTCCTCAAACTGATTGTATTTCCAAACCTGGCATTATGTTTTCTTCCTAATACTATGATCCATTTGGTCTGGAGATCACAACCGTTTCTCTTGAAACGTTATCGGGGAGGTTATGTACGCATTGAGCCAACAGGTGTTGTTATAGACTTGATGTTCATTGACTCTGCAGACAGCTGTTGAGGCATTCCCCAAATGCAGTATCAGCCTTCTTACCAGGACTGAAAGATTTAGCTGGGGCGGGGGGGGGGGGGAGCGCAAAACCAGATCATTTTATTTTTATGTTTCATGGTTTTTCTTGTTTACTTTTTAGACAGAGAGAGGGAATATTACAAAATCACACAAGGCCTACCAGACTTCTGTATTTAAAGAACGAATTAGGATGGAAGTCTTAGCCTTCGCTTTCCTGGGTTCTTTAGCAAAGCCCAAAGGGTGTACCCATATTTTGCATGAGTTAAGGGTGTAAGTCTTTGCCCACGTAGGTTTTCTGTCTCTGTCCTTGATCTTCCTTGCCAACATGTGAGTATACAGAAATTTTCTGTATATTTCAACTTTAAGACATTTTTAGCATCTGTATAGTTTGTATTCAATTAGAGGCCTTTTCTATGGAAAGCTCAGTAATTTTTATTAAAAGATTGCTATCGTTCATGTAAAACATGAAAAAAAATTGCTTAGTGAAAATGACAGTGTGAACGTAGGGTGGGATTAAAATATCCAGTATTATGATCTCACTTAACAGAAATTACAGGAGAACATGATAGTTTATTGTTGTTTTTCCTCTCCCATATTCAGTTTTGTTCCGTTTCCTCTCTTTCACTCCAGATGGTAACAAAACATCTCTACAGCAAGTGCCTCTGTCAATCCAGCTTGGGAGTGCAAATTGTCTTTGCCCTCTGGTCTACAGTATGGTGCATAGCATTAGGCCACAACTCAAAAGCACTGTCGTTTTTAGTGTTAGCAGAAATTGTCTTATGTTGGTGGGAGGTTTGTTTGATTGTCAAGATATACAGCGACAGCCTTTAAATTTGGGAGCCCCTGTTGTCATTCAAATGTGTACCTCTACTATTGTACAAAGTATCAGATTCTACTGTTTGTGGGTTATGCTTGCCAGATCGGTCTTAAAACTTGTGTATTTTTTTTGGAAAAGTTTATATACGTTTCTGGAAATCATTGTGAAAGATCAAGAAATCAGGATAGCCATTTCTTTAATATCCATTTAAAATCTGTTTATTTCATGCTAGTGGCATCATTAACTTGTCACCAAGCAGGACTCTATTTAAAACAAAATTTACAACTATTTGTGGCCTGTATGTGTTTAATCTGGTTAAAGATAAAGCTCCATAATGCTGTTTTTATACAACACATTAACCAGCTATAAAACACAGATCTTTATCAATAGCAGACAAAGCATTTCAGGATGCATATACAGATAGACTATAAAGTCATGTAGTTTGAAAAGTGGTGTTTCATTATGAAAGAGCTCTTAAGTTGCTTGTAAAGCTAATCTAATTAAAAGATGTATAAAATGTTCTCAAAAAAAATTATGGTTATTTCCTTCTGTCTTGTTTTTTAATCCCTTATCATACATAAGCTTTCCAGTTTTTTCATCAGATAATGTGCTTTTTCTGTCACACATCTTTGATTTGGTCCAGAACATTTGGCATTAATTTTCATAAATAATGAGAGAAAGAAAACAGAAAACATAGGAGTCCAACAATTTTAGAAACTTCCTGGGGGTAATTGGACTGTCTTTGGGATCCATGCGCTCTGTTTGGATTCTTAACATTTGAATTCTTACCTTTTTAATAGGATTTTTAACATTGTTTTAACATTCATAGCTATTGAGCATGTCTGTATCGCTCCTCTCCTGCCAAAGAGGGGGCATTAGGTATTTGTAATTGTCATAGGTGTTCTATTGTGTATGTGCAAGACAGCTTAATTTGTGTGATCACACATTAAAATGTAAGAGCTTTTATAATGTGAGATCAAAATATATGTTCACATATCTCTTATGTAAACAATTTTTTAGTGTGTTGTTTTTGTTATTTCCCTGCCTAATGTAGGGCATTTGGGGAATTGCACTGAAATATAGCTGGGTGGATTGAAGGAGAGGGTAACTGAGTTTGAGGTGAAGACTAATTAAATTCTGTGGGGGTAATCAGAAGAACACAGAATTAACAAATCTCTGATTTGGGCTCAATCACTTAAGTGACCTTTTGAGCCCTTTTTATACGAAAACAAGTACCATATCTTCAAACTTATAAGAATTTTATGAGACCTAAATAAAATATAGTATGCAAAGTACTAACAGGGCTTAGAACGTGTTCAATGAGTAGTGTCCCTCTCCTTTAACCAATTAGATGCTAACATAATTGTAGGGAGAGAAGACTGGGTTAACAAGTTTGAATAGCTAACAGTTTTATCAGTTGTAAATGTTAATCATTCGGAAGCAAGTGTTAATTTTTCTAATCAATGACAGGTATTTAGTTTTATAGCTTAGATTTAAGTTAAATCACAAGTACAACACACTTTGTCAGATTATTTCCCTAAGTGCATATGGTATAAGAAAGAGCTGTATTTGGGGTATGGACTGCAGTGATATATATAATATATATTAAACAGTAGTCGTTAGATTTTTTTCAATTAGTTTATAAACATTCAGAAGTAAATATCTAGTCTCCATTTCTTTAAGGATAATTTTTTTGACTTCTAAGGACATGACTTCATCCTCCAGATTTTGTTTTTGGTTTTAATGCAGATTCTTTTCATGATCACCAGCAAGTAAATTTTATCTGAAATATGGTAATACTCTAGGATGTACCATTGGACCATTGAGATGTATAAAGGGCATCGCCTCATGAACTATAAATAGTTTTATAAATAGAACACAGCCAAGGGATAGCCTGAACAGCTGCAGGAAGCTAAAACTCTTTTTATAAAGACTATTCACTAATTATCAAATATTATTGATAATTTTTGCCCTGAACAAGATGTTATCAAGGTCAAAGAGTTAATAGGGTAAAGTCCCTTCATTGAGAATAGGACTTTTTCTGCTAAGATTAGTATATTCCTATGGTGTTCTACAAAATACCTTTACACTTTTTTCTTTTGACATAGAAAGTAGAGTAAATTTTATCTCCATTTAAAATTAAACCAGGATTAGACAAGTGAGTTGCTCGCAGTCGCATAGCTCACTTCTGGTAGAAAGCCATAGTTTTAACATGGGTTTTTCTTGTTTAATTTTGTTGAAGTAGTTAAATCAACTTACTCTATGAGGGTTGGTAGAAAAAATAGTACTCTCTCACATTCTTCCCCTGAGAAAGCAAGTTTCAGCTCTTCTAAATGAGTCTCTGGATAACCTGATCACATCGCTACATCTCGATTTTCCAGTGTTAAGGCATTATCTACTAACTTCACTATGTGGAAGATGAGAACATCAGTCTCTTTGCAACATCCTCCACCTTCCCTGATCGTCCTTACGTGATTCTGTTGTGCGATCAGGTTGATCATGCGTCTCTTAGGACTGTGCTATTCGAAGCTGAGATATGCAGGAAACCACAATGACTTACTTTCTCCCACAACCTACTCTGCCCCTTCATGTCTTGATTTTTTTATTGGTTCTCTGTGGCTTCTAACCTGTACCAGTCTAGACTGGTTTCCCTTTCCACCTGGCATGCACCATCTTCCTTGGATCTCCCCTCACCTTTAATCTAGAGATTTCCCCCTCACCATTCTCAGTGTTGGAGACAGTTCTGTTTGGTTGGAATGCTCCTTCCAATACTTCTGCAAAAGTGTGTCGGTGGTAAATTTCCTGAGATGAATGTCTTTATCATTACACTTAATTGGTAACAGTATAGAATTCTAGTCTGTAAATAATTTTCCTCAGAAATTTGAAAACATTGTCTCACTAATTCTAGGTTCCAGTGTGTAGATGTTGAAAGATCTAAAGCCATTCTTACTACTCTTTTTTTTTTTTTTTTTTT